TCTTCATATCCAGTGTTGTCCATGCCAACCTTGGCATTCATGTCTCCCATAAGAATCGTCAAATCCTTTGGTGAACATTTCTCGACGATTGACTGCAGCCTTTCGTAGAATTGATCTTTAACGTCGTCATTGTAGTCATTGTAGGTGCATAGGATTGGATGAGGTTCATTGTAATGTCCTGTTTCTTTGTTTTGAAGGATGATTTGACGATCCTGGGTCCATGAGATTCCCATCCTATCACTGCCTTTTGTGCATGTTTGGACAGCATCAGTGCAACTCCTTGTGTATGTGAAGCATTTTCCTCTTCATGACCAGAGTATAACAGCTTTACTTACTAACTTAAGCCTGTTACCCCCAATGGAGCATAGGCCGCTCACCAGTTTTCTCCAACCAACTCTGTCCTGAGCTTCTCTCTCCAATTCTGTCCAATGTTTGTTCATTCCTCTCATATCTTTCTCTATTGTAGTCAGGGCTACCAAGCCGCATATTCCATGAGCTGCACATAAGAATCTAGAAAATTTCCCCGCCATGACTCAGTAGGAGGTTTCGCACTATCCTGCTATAGAGGAAATGGATGTTCGAGCAACTTATGATATTTGGAACTGGTGAGATAAAATTTGAGTATAGAAAATCTGGAAATATTCATGCCTCAGCTCCTTATATGTCAAGAAAATTGTGTGAAGGTGAGCTAGTAAGGGAGTTTGTAGAATACCCAATGTGGGATCCAAACTGGGTTAGGACTGAGGAATAACTGTTTACGTAGTTGAGGTACTCACCTTGTCCAGTTTAAACAAAACAAGTGATTTGGTTCAATGAAGGTTCTGATATTCATCATAAATATAAATATACATAATTACCTGAACGAATATTACCACTTAGTCACCCCAACAACAATTGTTCAATTATTCAAGGCCACAGCAACAAATAAATGATATTATATTCCTCCTAGATAGATCAGAATCGTTCGACAGATATTTGGAACAGCATTAGTGTCGCAATTCAAAACCAATAAACTCTTTTGTTGTTCTTCATGTTCCGTTTCAGAGACATAAGATATATGCACATCAATAGCATCGATTTCATACAACACTGTAGACTGGCTGTTACCATCAGACGCTTCCTTCTCATCATCACTCGACTGACAGTCAATAGGAACACTTACAGATGCACAAACTTGTGCATCTTCAGCCAACTAGAGATTTGCGACAACGCTCGATTACGTCAAAACACTAGATAGTTCATTCGATGAAGTAGATTGACTAGTCACTATAGGTGGACAGCTCAAACGACCTGTCTCTTTATTATCGCTGTCACTACTAAGATTCTGATTACTACTATCTCTATTGCTAGTCATAGCATCCGAAAGAGAACGAAGTTTACGCTTCCTAATAATAGTAGCATCATGTTGTTTCTTATGCTTCTTAGCTTGGGTAGCAGTATGGGAGCGTAATGTACGATCATTTCGATGTAGATGAGTGTCTTTCGATGTCCTCCTATCGCTATTACCCGTAGGAGTATTATCAAGACTATTATCCTTATTAGCCTCAGCTGAAGAAGTAACAGTACGCTTCTCATGACCTCCATCCGACTCATGCACAGCGTCCAACTCTACTCGATTAACATTACTTTCCTTACTCAGAATGCTCTTAACCTCATCTGTCTTATCACTGTTGGTAGTGCTCATCCCGAAGTTTGTAGTGCAAGTCAAAGATGGTGGAGTGCGACAGGTGGACCATTCCATGCTCGATTCCTGATGCTGCATATTAAACGCAACAGCATGTCCATGAAGCTAAGATGACTCCTCATTACAGCTTGGGTACCGAATGTTAGCCCTCTCAGTAGTGCTATCAATGTGGCTGACGCTATTGCCACGGACGCCTACATTCCCCACGCTCAAACATCCAATTTCGTCTTCATCTGAAGTACTCAAAGAAGCTACATTAGTAACAGCAACCGAAGAAACAGCACTACCTATAATGATTCAACCATCGTTACCATCACCTTTATTATTCTTATCTATTACATTATTAATAGACACATGAGGTTTCACCTCAACCTTGTTGTTGTTGTTGCCCACATTGATGTTCCGACTCTTCACAGTTAATGGCTAGTTGCGGGATGGTTGGCATGCAGGCTTTAAAGTTAAGTTACTGTTACGGGATGAATGAAGTCATTTGACTGATTAAAACCTTTATATTACTTACTTACTTACGCCTGTTACCCCCAATGGAGCATAGGCCGCTCACCAGTTTTCTCCAACCAACTCTGTCCTGGGCTTCTCTCTCCAATTCTGTCCAATGTTTGTTCATTCCTCTCATATCTTTCTCTATTTCTCGGCGTAGTGTGTTCCTTGGCCTTCCTCTTTTCCTTTCGCCTTGAGGGTTCCATGTGAGGGCTTGTCTCGTGACGCAGTTAGGTGCTTTCCGCAATGTGTGTCCTATCCATTTCCAACGCTTCTTCCTGATTTCCCCCTCCACTGGAATCTGACTTGTTCTCTCCCACAGTTCGTTGTTGCTGATGGTGTCTGGCCAACGAATACGAAGTATTTTGCGTAGACAGCTGTTAATAAACACTTGAATCTTCTGAATGATGGCTTTGGTAGTTCTCCATGTTTCCGCTCCATACAGTAGAACTATCTTGACATTTGTATTGAAAATCCTGATTTTGGTTTTGTTTGAAAGTTGTTTGGAGTTCCAGATATTTTTCAACTGTAGAAATGCAGCCCTTGCTTTGCCAATCCGTGCCCTCACATCTGCATCGGATCCACCATGGTTGTCGATGATGCTGCCAAGATATGTAAAGGTGTTGACGTCCTCGAAAGCATCTCCATCAAGAGTGATTTGGTTGGCGCATGTTGTGTTGCATCGGAGAATTTTGCTTTTTCCTTTATGTATGTTGAGACCCACTGCTGCAGAGGCTGCTGCTACACTGGTCGTCTTCTCTTGCATTTGTTGTTGAGTGTGCGATAGAAGAGCCAAGTCATCTGCAAAGTCCAGATCGTCCAGCTGCGTCCTAACTGTCCAGTTGATACCGTGCTTCCCTCCAGATGTTGACGTCTTCATAATCCAGTCGATGATCAGGAGAAAGAGAAAGGGTGAGAGTAAGCAACCTTGCCTGACACCGGTCTTCACCTCGAAGGAGTCTGTTAGCTGACCTCCGTGCACGATTTTGCAGTTGAATCCATCATAAGAATTCCGTATGATGTTGACTATTTTCTCAGGCACGCCGTAGTATCGAAAAAGCCTCCATAGTGTTTTCCTATCCACGCTATCAAATGCCTTCTCGTAGTCGATGAAGTTGATGTAGAGTGGTGAGTTCCATTCAATTGATTGTTCCACAATGATCCGTAATGTTGCAATTTGGTCAGTACACGATCGATCCTTACGAAATCCGGCCTGTTGATCTCGAAGTTGGGCGTCTACGAAGTCCTTCATTCTGTTTAACAATACTCTGTTGAAGACTTTGCCTGTTATTGAAAGAAGAGTGATGCCTCTGTAGTTTTCACACTTGCTGAGATCGCCTTTCTTTGGTATTTTGATCAGGTATCCTTCTTTCCAATCTGATGGTACTTGTTCCTCTTCCCAAATCTTCTTGAAGAGGATGTGAAATATTTTCGCAGTTGCTTCTACATCTGCTTTCATTGCCTCTGCTGGAATGTTGTCTGGTCCTGCTGCTTTGCCGCTCTTGATTTGTCTGATGGCCATACTGATCTCCTCAATTGTAGGTGCGCCAATATTAATTGGGAGGTCCGTGGATGCTGCTTCGATGTTGGGTGGGTTCAGTGGAGCTGGTCGATTCAGGAGTTCCTTAAAGTGCTCTACCCACCTATTTCGTTGTTCTTCAGTGTTGCTGATTACTTTGCCTTCCTTACTTTTCACTGGTCGTTCTGGTTTACGATAGTTTCCCGCCAGTTTCTTTGTTGTTTCGTACAATTGTCTCAAGTTTCCTTCTCTTGCAGCCTTTTCCGCCGTCATTGCTAGATCTTCCACATATTTTCGTTTGTCAGCTCTGATGCTCTTCTTCACTTCCCTGTTTGCTTCTGTGTATGCAGCTTGTGCGGTAACTTTCTCCGCTCTTGTTCGGCTGACATTCACTGCTGCCTTCTTGTTCCTCCTTTCTTCAATTTTTTCAAGAGTACCAACAGAGATCCATTCTTTGTGATGCTGCTTCTTGCGACCAAGGACCTCCTGACATGTTGAAGTGATTGCCTCCTTTATCCCTTTCCAATTGTTCTCCAATGTTGCTTCCTCTGCATTGAGTAGATCCTGAAAGGCCTGGAACCTATTGGTGAGGGCTATCTTGAATTCATTGAGCTTTACGGTATCCCGAAGAAATGCCGTATTAAACTTGTGTGATATTGTCTGTCCCGTTGTCCAGTGCTTCTTTAGTTTCAGTTTCATTTTGGCGATCAGCAAATGGTGATCTGAAGCTATATCAGCTCCTCTCTTGGTTCTCACATCCTCCATGGTCCTTCTGAACTTTTAGTTGATACAGATATGATCAATCTGGTTTTGAGTAGTGTGATCCGGTGAAATCCATGTGGCTTTGTGAATGCGTTTGTGCGGGAATATTGTGCCACCGATGACCTGTTTGTTGAAGGCACATAGGTTTGAAAATCTCTCACCGTTTTCGTTTCTTTCTCCCAGTCCATGTCGTCCCATGATGTCTTCATATCCAGTGTTGTCCATGCCAACCTTGGCATTCATGTCTCCCATAAGAATCGTCAAATCCTTTGGTGAACATTTCTCGACGATTGACTGCAGCCTTTCGTAGAATTGATCTTTAACGTCGTCATTGTAGTCATTGTAGGTGCATAGGATTGGATGAGGTTCATTGCAATGTCCTGTTTGAGTATAACGGCAGTTCCCCTGAAGCTAGTCTCAGTTGTCCTACCTGTGTCTGATGCGTTCCACTGATGCCGAGCACCTCCATGTTGTATCTTTTCATTTCTGCCGCAACTTGAACTAGTCTCACAGTCTCCCACAATGTACGAACGTTTGATGTACCTAAAAAATGGCTGCCCTTGTAGCCCCAAAGGGACTACTGGCAGAGTTGTTACAATAGATGAATGTCATAAAACTGAACAATCATCTGAGAAGTCAACACAAGTATCATTTGAAAATGCATCGGGTTCACATAAATCTGAAAATAACACTGTTGAGAAATTATTGAATGTTGATGCCCAAATCAATGACTGTGACTCTCCTGACGCTAATGATTCTAATATACCTGCTAAAGAAGACAAGGGTCTTCAATCAAAAGTTGATAAACTAGTTGGAAAGATTCTAAATGTAGATGACGAAGAAGATAGTAATTATTTGTCATAACTTTGTATACCGAATTCTAAATCATCCATAAATTCACCTCGTTCTTCATCCATTTCAATTTCAATAAATACCAACCTTAATCAAGAGTGCCCAAGTTGTAATGTTACTCCTAGTATTGCTCCTCTCACTACTTCAGCTAACAATAACATACATGAGTCAGATTTAAAGGACCCTAATTCTGCATTGGTCATGGATAATAATTCTGAAGTTGTCACTTTTGTGAATCTTATACAAAAAGATACATTCCTTGTTTTTAGTAGTTTATATCGTTTGGCAGTGGAAGATTTCACAGGTTCCGACTCAAATGATCCCAAATCACACCACACGCTTGAAGAAAGGTATCGCTTAGCGTAGTAAAGCATGTATTCTCAGGGAGGTTATATTCAATCCTACTGTACGAAGACAAGTATATACGTAATTTAATCAGCTACAAACTCTAGGTTGTATTCATCCTCAGTTAGTTCCTCGAGGTTCCTATCATTATTTGAGGCTCATGTGAGCTTGATGGGTGATTAATGAAAAGGCTGATCGTTAATTTGGACAAGAGAGTTCTGTAACTGTCGTATATCACTAACACAAATACGCTCTCTCACTAGGGCATGTTCTCAATCTAAACATGAGCCCCATAACGAGCCACAGTCCTCTATCGAACCTTTCGGTCGGTGGGTAACAGAAATATGATCTAGTTGTATCCATCGTTGGGTCGACTTTGCGGGACGGCATCTCAAAAGATGTTTTTCATTGTGCTTAAAGTTAGTATTTGCTAGGAATAAGCGCTTATCTGAGCTTAGATGCAATAGACAATCGCGATTATCTGTTCGATCTACCGCAACACCATAAGATCCACTCAGGTCGTTTTTCGATTGTTCTACCTGCACGAGTATTATGTCACTACCCACATTTAATATTTCAGAGCGCTCAACTTTCTGCGGAGGTCCAAAAGCTTTCAGTACAACTCATCTTTCACATCGTTTGTATTGTAGTCAGGGCTATCAAGCCGCATATTCCATGAGCTGCACATAAGAATCTAGAAAATTTCCCCGCCATGACTCAGTAGGAGGTTTCGCACTATCCTGCTATAGAGGAAATGGATGTTCGAGCAACTTATGATATTTGGAACTGGTGAGATAAAATTTGAGTATAGAAAATCTGGAAATATTCATGCCTCAGCTCCTTATATGTCAAGAAAATTGTGTGAAGGTGAGCTAGTAAGGGAGTTTGTAGAATACCCAATGTGGGATCCAAACTGGGTTAGGACTGAGGAATAACTGTTTACGTAGTTGAGGTACTCACCTTGTCCAGTTTAAACAAAACAAGTGATTTGGTTCAATGAAGGTTCTGATATTCATCATAAATATAAATATACATAATTACCTGAACGAATATTACCACTTAGTCACCCCAACAACAATTGTTCAATTATTCAAGGCCACAGCAACAAATAAATGATATTATATTCCTCCTAGATAGATCAGAATCGTTCGACAGATATTTGGAACAGCATTAGTGTCGCAATTCAAAACCAATAAACTCTTTTGTTGTTCTTCATGTTCCGTTTCAGAGACATAAGATATATGCACATCAATAGCATCGATTTCATACAACACTGTAGACTGGCTGTTACCATCAGACGCTTCCTTCTCATCATCACTCGACTGACAGTCAATAGGAACACTTACAGATGCACAAACTTGTGCATCTTCAGCCAACTAGAGATTTGCGACAACGCTCGATTACGTCAAAACACTAGATAGTTCATTCGATGAAGTAGATTGACTAGTCACTATAGGTGGACAGCTCAAACGACCTGTCTCTTTATTATCGCTGTCACTACTAAGATTCTGATTACTACTATCTCTATTGCTAGTCATAGCATCCGAAAGAGAACGAAGTTTACGCTTCCTAATAATAGTAGCATCATGTTGTTTCTTATGCTTCTTAGCTTGGGTAGCAGTATGGGAGCGTAATGTACGATCATTTCGATGTAGATGAGTGTCTTTCGATGTCCTCCTATCGCTATTACCCGTAGGAGTATTATCAAGACTATTATCCTTATTAGCCTCAGCTGAAGAAGTAACAGTACGCTTCTCATGACCTCCATCCGACTCATGCACAGCGTCCAACTCTACTCGATTAACATTACTTTCCTTACTCAGAATGCTCTTAACCTCATCTGTCTTATCACTGTTGGTAGTGCTCATCCCGAAGTTTGTAGTGCAAGTCAAAGATGGTGGAGTGCGACAGGTGGACCATTCCATGCTCGATTCCTGATGCTGCATATTAAACGCAACAGCATGTCCATGAAGCTAAGATGACTCCTCATTACAGCTTGGGTACCGAATGTTAGCCCTCTCAGTAGTGCTATCAATGTGGCTGACGCTATTGCCACGGACGCCTACATTCCCCACGCTCAAACATCCAATTTCGTCTTCATCTGAAGTACTCAAAGAAGCTACATTAGTAACAGCAACCGAAGAAACAGCACTACCTATAATGATTCAACCATCGTTACCATCACCTTTATTATTCTTATCTATTACATTATTAATAGACACATGAGGTTTCACCTCAACCTTGTTGTTGTTGTTGCCCACATTGATGTTCCGACTCTTCACAGTTAATGGCTAGTTGCGGGATGGTTGGCATGCAGGCTTTAAAGTTAAGTTACTGTTACGGGATGAATGAAGTCATTTGACTGATTAAAACCTTTATATTACTTACTTACTTACGCCTGTTACCCCCAATGGAGCATAGGCCGCTCACCAGTTTTCTCCAACCAACTCTGTCCTGGGCTTCTCTCTCCAATTCTGTCCAATGTTTGTTCATTCCTCTCATATCTTTCTCTATTTCTCGGCGTAGTGTGTTCCTTGGCCTTCCTCTTTTCCTTTCGCCTTGAGGGTTCCATGTGAGGGCTTGTCTCGTGACGCAGTTAGGTGCTTTCCGCAATGTGTGTCCTATCCATTTCCAACGCTTCTTCCTGATTTCCCCCTCCACTGGAATCTGACTTGTTCTCTCCCACAGTTCGTTGTTGCTGATGGTGTCTGGCCAACGAATACGAAGTATTTTGCGTAGACAGCTGTTAATAAACACTTGAATCTTCTGAATGATGGCTTTGGTAGTTCTCCATGTTTCCGCTCCATACAGTAGAACTATCTTGACATTTGTATTGAAAATCCTGATTTTGGTTTTGTTTGAAAGTTGTTTGGAGTTCCAGATATTTTTCAACTGTAGAAATGCAGCCCTTGCTTTGCCAATCCGTGCCCTCACATCTGCATCGGATCCACCATGGTTGTCGATGATGCTGCCAAGATATGTAAAGGTGTTGATGTCCTCGAAAGCATCTCCATCAAGAGTGATTTGGTTGGCGCATGTTGTGTTGCATCGGAGAATTTTGCTTTTTTCTTTATGTATGTTGAGACCCACTGCTGCAGAGGCTGCTGCTACACTGGTCGTCTTCTCTTGCATTTGTTGTTGAGTGTGCGATAGAAGAGCCAAGTCATCTGCAAAGTCCAGATCGTCCAGCTGCGTCCTAACTGTCCAGTTGATACCGTGCTTCCCTCCAGATGTTGACGTCTTCATAATCCAGTCGATGATCAGGAGAAAGAGAAAGGGTGAGAGTAAGCAACCTTGCCTGACACCGGTCTTCACCTCGAAGGAGTCTGTTAGCTGACCTCCGTGCACGATTTTGCAGTTGAATCCATCATAAGAATTCCGTATGATGTTGACTATTTTCTCAGGCACGCCGTAGTATCGAAAAAGCCTCCATAGTGTTTTCCTATCCACGCTATCAAATGCCTTCTCGTAGTCGATGAAGTTGATGTAGAGTGGTGAGTTCCATTCAATTGATTGTTCCACAATGATCCGTAATGTTGCAATTTGGTCAGTACACGATCGATCCTTACGAAATCCGGCCTGTTGATCTCGAAGTTGGGCGTCTACGAAGTCCTTCATTCTGTTTAACAATACTCTGTTGAAGACTTTGCCTGTTATTGAAAGAAGAGTGATGCCTCTGTAGTTTTCACACTTGCTGAGATCGCCTTTCTTTGGTATTTTGATCAGGTATCCTTCTTTCCAATCTGATGGTACTTGTTCCTCTTCCCAAATCTTCTTGAAGAGGATGTGAAATATTTTCGCAGTTGCTTCTACATCTGCTTTCATTGCCTCTGCTGGAATGTTGTCTGGTCCTGCTGCTTTGCCGCTCTTGATTTGTCTGATGGCCATACTGATCTCCTCAATTGTAGGTGCGCCAATATTAATTGGGAGGTCCGTGGATGCTGCTTCGATGTTGGGTGGGTTCAGTGGAGCTGGTCGATTCAGGAGTTCCTTAAAGTGCTCTACCCACCTATTTCGCTGTTCTTCAGTGTTGCTGATTACTTCGCCTTCCTTACTTTTCACTGGTCGTTCTGGTTTACGATAGTTTCCCGCCAGTTTCTTTGTTGTTTCGTACAATTGTCTCAAGTTTCCTTCTCTTGCAGCCTTTTCCGCCGTCATTGCTAGATCTTCCACATATTTTCGTTTGTCAGCTCTGATGCTCTTCTTCACTTCCCTGTTTGCTTCTGTGTATGCAGCTTGTGCGGTAACTTTCTCCGCTCTTGTTCGGCTGACATTCACTGCTGCCTTCTTGTTCCTCCTTTCTTCAATTTTTTCAAGAGTACCAACAGAGATCCATTCTTTGTGATGCTGCTTCTTGCGACCAAGGACCTCCTGACATGTTGAAGTGATTGCCTCCTTTATCCCTTTCCAATTGTTCTCCAATGTTGCTTCCTCTGCATTGAGTAGATCCTGAAAGGCCTGGAACCTATTGGTGAGGGCTATCTTGAATTCATTGAGCTTTACGGTATCCCGAAGAAATGCCGTATTAAACTTGTGTGATATTGTCTGTCCCGTTGTCCAGTGCTTCTTTAGTTTCAGTTTCATTTTGGCGATCAGCAAATGGTGATCTGAAGCTATATCAGCTCCTCTCTTGGTTCTCACATCCTCCATGGTCCTTCTGAACTTTT